ACTTATTTTTTTATGCCAACCTTAGGGTTTGAATTCAGGGCCTGAGCAGGAAAAAAGAAAAGGCTGGGTGGAGAAAAGTCCGTGGGACTCTTATCTCCAATAAACCACCAAGAAACTGGAAGTGGTACTGTGGCTCAAATGGTAGAACGCTAGCCTTGAGCTGAAAAGCTCAGGCCCAGAGTTCAAGCTCCACAACAGACCAAAAAGAAAAAAGAAAAGAAAAAGAGTCTCACAGAGTTTCCATCCCTGGCTGGCTTTGAACCTTGAGCCTCAGATCTCAGCCTCCAGAGTGATTACAGATGTGAGCCACAGGTGCCAAACTACTTGCTACATTTTAAAAACAGAAAACAAGCGTTGGGGAAGTGTTGGGCAAAATCCCCAGCCCCAGAATACGGCTTTGCCTACCCCACTTGTGGAGGAGAGTTGAAATCAATGTTATCAGTGTTGTGGACTCAGCCACTGGCCATTTAATCACGGGGAGGCCTGCTCGGGTTAATCGCTAGTCTCTAATCAGCTTTATCCGGGCTTCTGCCTGCAGCAGGTTCTTGGAAAGCCATCCATCAGCCAGCTATTTTGGGTGAGATTTTTCAGCCTGTGAGGCTGTTCCTGGGTCAGCTTCTCTGGCCAGGTCCCCTGGAGAGGGGCTGCAAGGCCAGGTGTGGGGAGAGCTGATGACAGTGCATGGCCACAGAGGGCCTGGCCACCACAGAGGGCCCCACCGGTCACGGAGGGCCCGGGCTGCCACAGAGGGCCCCGCCGGTCACGGAGGGCCCCGCCGGTCACGGAGGGCCCGGGCCACCACGGAGGGCCAGGGCCACCACAGAGGGCCCCGCCGGTCACGGAGGGCTTGGGCCACCATGGAGGGCCCGGGCCGCCACAGAGGGCCCCGCCGGTCACGGAGGGCCCCGCCGGTCACGGAGGGCTCGGGCCGCTACAGAGGGCCTGGGCCGCCACTGGGCCCCAGCTCTGTGCCAGGACTCTGGGCTCTGCACTCATAGCAGCAGGCTAGCAGTGTTGGCAAGCAGGCTAGCAGTGTTGGCAAGCAGCCTGCTTTGCCGTGACTCTGTGTGCGCGTGTGTGTTTCTTCCTGGGGTCAATGCTTGAGCGCTTGCACCACAGAGCCACTTCTGGCTTTTTATGGTTGGTTCACTGGAGCTAAGAATCTCACAAACTTCCTACCCAGGCGGGTTTCAAACTGAGATCCTCTGATCTCAGCCGCCTGGGTAGCTCGCAAGTGTGAGTCATCTGTGCCTGGTCTTCAGTGCATGCTGTGTGTACATGTATGTGTGTGTGCGCATGTGTGCACACAGTGTGTGCATGTGCATGTGCGTGAGTGTGCGTGTGCACGTGTGTGTGCACGTGTGCATGCACGTGTGTGCATGTGTGCGCATGTGCATGTGTGCATTGTGTGTGTGTGCACTTGTGTGCACGTGTGCGTGCGTGTGTGCATGTGTGAGTGCGTGTGTGCATGTGTGCGCACGTATATGTGTGCATGCGTGTGCATGTGTGCATGTGTGCGCACGTGCGTGTGTGCATGTATGTGTGTGCATTGTGTGCATGCACTTATGTGCGTGTGTACGCGTGCGTGCATGTGTGTGCGTGCACGTGTGTGCATGTGCGTGCGCATGTGTGCGTGTGTGCATGTGTGTGAGTGCGTGTGTGCGTGTGTGTGCACGCGCGTATGTGTGTGCGTGTTTGCATGTGCGCACATGTGCGCACACGTGTGCATGTGTGTGCGTACTTGTGTGCGTGTGTATACGCGTGCATGCGTGCGCGCGTGTGGCCAGTTCTGGGATGGGAACCTAGGGCTTGTTTTGCTTCTCCTTTGCTTTTCTTCCGTGCTCCGCCCCGCAAGCAGTGCCTGCACTTTTGCGTTAGGTAAAGAGGACAGTCTGAGGGCTCCAGCTCTGCCCACCCAGCCCGGCCCAGGGGAGCGGCCGGCCGGATCTTTGGGAAGCCTTTCCCACCTTTTCCCGAGGCCTGCGAACAGCTCCAGCGTCCGGGCCGTGGTTCCATCCCCGCGCCCCGCAGTGCCAGCTCTGGCCGCAGAGATGGGGTCGGTCCAGGCCGGA